CTTCTCTTGTTATCAGTGGCCGTGCTGTGTGCCATAACAGCATCAATCAGTTGTGTTAATTAGGCTTCAGTTAGGAACCTCATATCTGTTAAATTTGATTTTACACCAGGACACATAAAGTTGTGTCATTTTTATATGCATCTCGGCGTTTATCACCAGACAGCGAACCTGAATAAACACTGCAGTTCCTTAAAGGTGTCGGCAGTTTGGTTTAATTTCCTCTTCTGTGCCTTAGTTAATGACAGGAATACTTAGTAGAAATCTGAGGAGATTACCTCTCACGCCTCAGGTGATCTCTGTATTTATTATTATAAAAATAGCTTGTCATGCAGAACGTTTCATTACTTCAACTTCAGAATACACTTCGGTTTTTTCAAATTAAACGTTGACAAAATGGCAGCAATAATAAACCCAGTGACTCTCCCGTTCTTGGGGTCTTGTTCACGAGTGAAGGAAGTATGGAGCGTGAGATTGACAGGCGGATCGGTGCAGCGGCCGCAGTAATACCACCAATGGTATGCGCCACACAGCTTGATGTTTATTAAGGTAATATAGTGACTTTTCCTCTAACATTATTCACAGTTAAACATCTGTATTCCCTATTTTATTATGAATAAAAAAAATAGTAACGCCATGACTTTGTTTCCTTAGCGTTCTCAGAATTCAAAGATTGATCGCGTAGTTGAATCCTTGATGCAACACCTTGAAAATAAAACTGTCCCCAGACGGGAAAAAACGACACGTGTGTAAATTAATAAAATGTCATTAACTGAGGTGGCTTGGGCATTTACATCGCATGCCCCCCGGACTACGTCGCTCAGCTGAATACTACAAAGGTCCTGAATCTGGTATGATAGTGATCTCAACTGTCCTCAATGAAAATCAATACAAATATACTCACTTCTCCCCACTATTGTTCAGGATCAAGGCCAAGAAACAACAACTTGACACAGTTGAATGAAAAATCAAGATTATTGATCAAATTTTGTTCCTAAAAACAAATCCAATCAACAAAATATTTTGTTCTTATGTCTCTGCTGCAGATGCTGAACCTCTTTGTGGCTGTCATCATGGATAATTTTGACTACCTCACCAGAGACTCCTCCATCCTGGGACCTCATCACCTAGATGAGTTTATCCGGGTCTGGGCCGAGTATGACCCAGCTGCATGGTATGTCCACATATCCATCTGGACCTCAAACAAAATCACACAAAGCAATAATGATCATTTGAATTGATCTTTTGTCAAACATTGAACTAAAGGACAGTAAAGCTATAAGTTCAGTTAAGTCAAAACTTGGGCTGGCTTTGAAACCTTTGTCTCTGTGTTTCCTGGTTGATGTACCAGTGGGATGTTTGCATTTGTAGTTTGCATGCTGAGGCAGACATCCCAAGATTCAAGATTCAAGATCGCTGGGGTAACATAGAACACACAGTGCTAGCAGCATGCGATACTACTACAGGGAATAAGGTAAGGAATAGAGGGAGAAAAGGGGGAATAGAACAGTGCAGGCAGTGCAGGAGTAGTGCGACACAAGATAAGGACATCTAAGTACAACACAGGTAAGAGCATTAACACACGGGGTAAGAACTTGTAGAAACACCGGGGCAAAAACATAACACGGGATTGGAACATACGCACACACAGGGACATAGGTTATTGCACATATTGACGTGGTCCATGTGCCGGGTGAGTGTGGTCCTTGGTGATGCTGTGTGCCTTACGCAGACACCTGCTGTGGTAGATGTCCTGGATGCTGGGGAGACTGCTGCCCGTGATGTCCTCAGCCGTTCGCACTACCCTCTGCAGTGCTTTTCGACTCTGAGCGGTGCAGTTCCCGTACCACACTGTGATGCTGCCAGTCAACAGGCTCTCGATGGTGCACCTGTAGAAGTTGGTGAGGGTGTTGGTGTTCATACTGAACTTCCTCAGCCTTCTCAGGAAGTAGAGTCTCTGCCGGGCTTTCTTCACCACAGAGTCCGCATGTTGTGTCCAGGACAGGTCCTCAGTGATGTGTACACCGAGGAACCTAAAGCTGCTGACCTGCTCCACTACAGTGCTGTTTATGTGGAGGGGGAGATGCTGGTCCACCCGCTGGCGCCTGAAGTCCACAATCATCTCTTTGGTCTTACTGACGTTGAGAGAGAGGTTGTTCTCCTGGCACCAGCTGGTCAGTGATGTCACCTCATCCCTGTAGGCGCTCTCATCGTTGTTGGTGATGAGGCCGATGATGGTGGTGTCGTCAGCAAACTTCAGGATGAGGTTGGAGTTGTGCTTGTTGGAACAGTCGTGGGTGAACAGAGAGTAGAGGAGTGGACTGAGGACACAGCCCTGGGGAGTGCCAGTGCTGAGGACCACTGTGGAGGAGAGGTGATTTCCAATTCTCACTGCCTGGGGTCTGTTGGAGAGGAAGTCCCAAATCCAGCTGCAGATTGATTTCTCCAGGCCGAGGGCGGTGAGCTTTGAAACCAGTTTGGAGGGGATTACGGTGTTGAAAGCCGAGCTGTAATCAATGAAGAGCATCCTCACGTAAGTGTTTCCCTTCTCCAGGTGGCTGAGAGCGGTGTGGGTTGCGAGAGCAATGGCGTCGTCTGTGGACCTTTTTGCTCTGTATGCGAACTGTAGGGGGTCCAGGTTGTTCGGGAGGGACCCACAGATGTGTCTCTTAATGATCCGCTCAAAGCACTTCATGACGACCGATGTGAGTGCTATGGGCCTGTAGTCATTAGGACAGGAGGCTGTGGGGGTCTTGGGGATGGGGACGATGGTGGATGTTTTGAAAATGGTGGGCACTGTGGACTGGCTCAGGGACAGGTTGAAGATGTCGGTGAACACCTCTGCAAGTTGGTCTGCACAGACTCTCAGCACCCGGCCGGGGATGCCGTCTGGGCCTGGAGCTTTGCGGGGGTTTACCTTCTTCAGCGCCTGTCTCACCATGGCTGTGTTCAGACAGAGCACAGCATCCTCACTGTCCACAAGTGGTCTGGTGGCGGGCGTGGTGTTGTCTGCATCAAACCGGGCATAGAAGGTGTTGAGCTCGTCAGGGAAGGATGAGCTGGACAGTTCTACTGGCCTGCTCCTCCCCCCGTAGTCGGTGATGCAGCGTAGTCCATGCCACACGCGTCTGGAGTCGTGGCTCTGTTGGGCAGACTCCACTTTCTCCTTGTATTTCCGCTGGGAAGCCCTGATGGTCCTCCTGACGTCATACTTGGCTGACTGATGAATTCAGTGGTGGCGGTTGTGGGCGGAGACCCCGACGGCCCAATCCCTGGACAACCACTCTGGCTATGGGGACATGGAATGTCACCTCGCTGGG